TGTGACTTAAATCGACATGAAGGTATCATAATTTAGCAATACCTCTTACAAAGTTCCTGAAACATAAACTACTTTAATAGGTCGCGTCACGTGGGTAACACAAACAAAAGCGTTCTTGTTCAGCATGGTTAACCCACAGGGCCTGGGACCAACCAAAATGCCGATCAAGAAGAGTCATCTGACAGGGTTTTATTCTGATAGCGGCCTGGGACCAAAATTTGGTGGACAGCGCGACCTGGAAATCATATCAGCGGTTGACGAAGGAATTATTTCTGGTTTCAGCCATCTTGGCCGGTCGTTTGACACTCCTCCAGGCCAGCAAGCGACATTTCTAACAGGAAAAAAGACATTTAAACTAACAGATTACGAAGTGTTTGGATTGCATGAGTGACTCTGATAAGGATCCCTGAGGCTGTCTTTCTAGCAAGTGAATTGTAAGAAAGTGGCCTGGGAACTTTGTAGAAAACGCTGGTACAGAGGACTGGTACCAGGGTCAAACAAACATTTCTGTCAAGAGGCCGAGGAAGTGAGACAGAGTATACGAAATCTCATTTTAGTTAGCAAAAATAGATATTTTCCAGTGACAGAAACCTTCAAAATTCAACGGACAGATTCTATGACACTTTTTTAAAGTCATTTTCAATTTACTGGTCCATAAAACTCGCTCCATTTTTTTAACCAATCAGATGCAAACCTTAAACCAATCATGACTAAGTCACCGGCGTTTTCCGGCGCTTCAGGCAGTTTGCTGGGTTTTAGTTCGCATTCTCACTGGTCTCTAGGGGTATTCTCCTTTCTTCTGATTGGCCGTTCTGATAACTTCGAAAGGCGCTCTGTCTATTCTTAATCATTTCACTCCCAAGATCTCATTTGTGATTCTCCTTACAGCCTGTCGTACAATTCTTGTGACGTTAGTTCTGAGAATTTGGTATTGGATCAACTTTTAATCCCCTAATTAATATTTTTCTTTATTCTCATCACTGTTGTGCTCGATACTGTCTTGATATTGTAAGCAGAAATTCTGTCTTGGTCACCCATGGGATTTAAAAGGTTAATACAATGTTATTCTGAGTGACCTCTTCCATTGGCAAAGGTGTCAGCTCAACGACGTACGACCAAGGAAGCGTCCCGTCCAGTTGCAATTGACATCGAAAGAATGAACCTCAAAGCAACTGCCAGTGAATTTGTAAGCGAAGAGAGGGATGGTGGGCAATAAAATTAAATTTCATGTTTTGTAGAAGGAAATAAAATGTCCTGTAGTGGTGTTTTAATATCACTTAAAACTGATGCTTGTACTTCTAATTTGTGTTGAGAAGAATACTTACAAGTAACTAATGAAGCCTGATCTAAAACGTATTCAATGCGAATAAGTATCTAAATAACTCGTATTACAAAACGTGACACATAGTTCTAATTATTCCATGTAATAAATAGTACCCAGGAGAAATACCTCTTTTCATATTTACAACATTTGCTAATTGGGAACAGACTCCCCAATCCGTGGGAGGGCTACTTTTTGCAAAATTAAGATAATCTGCTAAACAAGATCTCTCGGTCTCGTCTCTTTGTTTGGAAGATAGATCGGATTTAAACTTTTCGGTTTCTTTGTACAATAAACAGAAGCAGGACACCCAATCACCAAAATGTGATTTTTCTTGATCCAGAATCTCCACATACTTCTATGAAATCCTCTAGGGTCCAGATCCCACATTTGAAAACAGCGCGCTATGTTAGACCACGTGGTATAGTCTCTTGGAGTGTCCATGCGCACATAAAACAAATACGTCTGTCCAGCGGTGTCTGGGACAAAGTCTTTAAGGTTTGCGCAAGGGTTTTTGGAATGATTTAAAAGCTTGGCCTCTCTGAAACGCAAAACAAAAAGCTTACTGTTAATACCTTGAACTGATTGTCAGAATATAGTTTGCTGCCAAGCCATTTAGGAAAACTTTAGAGGGCCATTCGGTTTTAATCACTTTTAAATTACTCCAAAGATCTGATTCTTACTTTAAACAGCTATAGCTAGTCTTAAAAATCACTGAGCTTTGTGTTTTTCTATTAAAATAATACCCTGTAGCTGATATTGTAGGAGAAGTTACATGTTGTAAAATCTGGGAATCAAACTCGAATACTGAAAAGTTTAACGAGGTAACGACTGGATGAACGCGAGTAAAATGATCTGCGAATGGGTACCGGTATTAAAATTGCAAGGGAAACGTGATGAAATACTGGTGGTAACTTTGCTATGGACTGGCACCCCATCCTGAGGGGAATGGCAATACCTCTTGTGGCTTCTTGCTATGGAAACCAGGATAACCTCCAGCTGGATGAGCCACTTACAGACATCACTTTTTTTTAACGTTAAATCAAGGTTCTTACCCTATAAGACGAAATATTTCTCTTTCGTAGTTATCCTTATACATCATTTCTGCGTTCAACTCGATATTTGTTTCTTT